GTAACTATACTGAGACCTTAGAACTTATATCTCAAGGTGGGTGGCGCATTTACGTTGTAGATGTCTATGGGCTCCAGTAACCACTTAATATCANTGCTGGTGGTAGGACCTCTTGTGAGTCCGCACGGGTAGGTACCACCGCCCCGCCTATTTCTGCCGTGAAGCAGTAATGCGTTTCGGTTTGAAGGGTGGGGCAGCCGTTGTAACTATACTGAGACCTTAGAACTTATATCTCAAGGTGGGTGGCGCATTTACGTTGTAGATGTCTATGGGCTCCAGTAACCACTTAATATCAGGTGGGCAGTGAGCTCGTCCATCCATCTAAACAATAAAAAAAAAACTTTATTGTTACCTAGGGAATTTTTGACTACTAACACAAAACTTCTCCAAGCTTCGCTTTCCGGAACAGTCAGCTTTGATGAAGTTGCCGTATTTATGTCTTTTCCATACTAAGCTTCGAAGTTTTCTTCAAATGAAGAAAATTTTGAATTCGAAAGAGATTGTTTCGAAATTTTCGATCCTTGTGCATCTCTCAATCTCTTTCCTTGTGCAACGCTTTGACAAATTGCTATATCATTCGTAATTTGAAATGTAATGGTGGAAGTATGACTTTGTTTCTACTTATCAACGCCTCCCTTATTACAGTGGCTTTACCGACCGTTAAAGAAATTCTTACAAACCTAGCATATTATCCCAATGAAGCTGCTTAGCTCTACTGTCCCACTTACAAGTCAAGCAAGGATATTTCGTGTATCGGGTATTTCGTGAAAGTAAAATAATAAAGTAAATTTTATTACTGACAAGCCGATAAATTGCACAAATTATAAGATATGCAATAATCATAAAAACATTTTTTTTTTTTATTGCTTAGATGGATGGACGAGCTCACAGCCCACCTGGTGTTAAGTGGTTACTGGAGCCCATAGACATCTACAACGTAAATGCGCCACCCACCTCGAGATATAAGTTCTAAGGTCTCAGTATAGTTACAACGGCTACCCCACCCTTCGAACCGAAACGCATTACTGCTTCACGGCGGAAATAGGCAGNTATAAGTTCTAAGGTCTCAGTATAGTTACAACGGCTACCCCACCCTTCGAACCGAAACGCATTACTGCTTCACGGCGGAAATAGGCAGGGCGGTGGTACCTATCCGCGCGGACTCACAAGTGGTCCTACCACCAGTAATTACGCAAATTATAATTTTGCGGGTTTGATTTTTATTACACGATGTTATTCCTTCACCGTGGAAGTCAATCGTGAACATTTGTTGAGTACCTATTTCATTGGAAACATTGATACCCGCTTGCGGGATTCGAACACCGGTGCATCATCATCATCATCATCAGCCTTTATCTGCCCACTGCTGGACATAGGCCTTCCCCAATGCCTTCCACATAATATAATATAATATATAATGCATCGCTACATACGAATGCACCGGACGTCTTATCCTTTAGGCCACGACGACTTAAAAAACAAAAGCACTTTCAATACTTTCATGAATAAATTCGTAATCTGGGCACTTGAAAACATCAAAATAAATTAAGATTTACTATTTAATTTTTTCACCTTAGATATATTTCATTAATACGAGTTTCGTAAACGCTATTAAAGTTCTGCCCTAAGATCAGACCACGAAATAGTTACACGACGGAAAGACATATTATTATTAGACAGGAAGACTCCCAAATTACTCTTTTTATGTATTCATGATATTTGATACCTTAATTGAGGTAAAATAACACACTCAATTTCTAATTTTATTATTCCACAGCTATTTGCTACTTTACAAACCTAGACAGTAGCTTTCAAGCTTGCGCGGGTCAGACAGATTCTATGAATTTCAAGGTATACTAATATAATTTAGCCATTAAGTTACAAAATAAAAGGAAACAAAATGTATTATTAAAATTGTCGCAAATTTAATAACGTCAAAGGGCGATTTCAGAAAAAGAGAATTCTTCTTTCTGGTCAGGTTTGGAAATTCACGGCTCGGCAGAACGATAATATAATTCGTTCATTCATGGAGGTGCGAATTTGCAAGTGCGTATCAGAGGGCGCGGCGCTTACCCCACCCGAGCCCTCAGAGCCGCGACTCTAGTGATGACGTCAACGGCCCACCGCGGCCTCCCCTTTTATAAATATAGCCACACCGATAGCACGCCACAGGTTTAGGCCCTTTAATTTCTTAGTATTTTTACAAGATAATTCACTTTTACTATTAATACTTATTAACATTATGTACTCACTCATTGTTTTTTTTAATTTTCTTTTGCATATATGGATGGACGAGCTCGCGGCCCACCTGGTGTTCAGTGGTTACCGGAGCCCATAGATATCTACCAAGTAAATGCCGCCACCCACCTTGAGATATGAGTTCTAAGCTTTCAGTATAGTTACACGGGTGCCCACCCTGCAAACTGAAACGCATTACTGCTTCACGGCAGAAATAGGCCAGTTGGTGGTGCCTACCCGTGCGGACTCACAAGAGGTCCTACCATCAGTAATTCGCAAATTTTCGTTTTGCGAGTTTGATTTTATACTACATGATGTTATTCGTCCAGTAGGCAGCGGCTTGGCTCTGCCTCTGGCATTGCTGAAGCCCTTGGGCGACGGTAGCCACTCACCATCAGGTGGGCCGTATGCTCGTCTGCCTACACGAGCAAAAAAAATAATCCTTCACCGTGGAAATCAATCGTGAGCATTTGTTAAGTACGTATTTCATTCTAAAAATTGGTACCCGCCTGCGGGATTCAAACACCGTTATATCGCTCAACACTATTGCACGAGACATCTTATCCCTTAGGCCATGACGACGGCTACAAAAATAGCAATATTATAGTTACATATGTAGAAACAACACCGATTTCTACTTGATTGAATTAAGAAATTGCTTTTATTGATAAATCAATTAGATGTTGACAGCTAGGCCGTATACCTGTTTCATACTCACAATGTCCAACGAACAATTACAATAAATTATATAATATTTTATGTAGAATTAATGACAAAAACGGTGTATTTTATATTAGAATCGTATAGGATGATTTTTATGATCCAAAGTTACAGTATATTATAAACAACTCCGTGTAATTTGTCATTTAAATAAAATGAACCCACCTCTGAAATCAACTACAACACACAAAGCGGTAATTAAGCGAAGCGCGCATTTCTGAGAATCATTCATCGTAATCGTGGCCGCTCGAGGAATTGTAACGGCCAAATTAGTACTGATGGATATACACTATAATGAAAATTCACGGTATTTTAGTTGATGTTTATATATTTACACATCAAAGCGATCTTCAAAAGATGAACCTGTATAGTTATATGAATGAAATGATATGATGAACCTGTATATTTCATTCCTAACTGGATCGAAACATTCGTGCTGGTGGACTTATCACTGGTGGTGGGACCTCTTGGGAGTCCGCACGGGTAGGTACCACCACCCAGCCTATTTCCGGCGTGAAGCAGTAATGCGTTTCGGTTCGAAGGGTGGGGTAGCTGTTGTAACTATACTGAGACCTTAGAACTTATATCTCGAGGTGGGTGGCGCATTTACGTTGTAGATGTCTATGGGTTCCAGTAACTACTTAACACCAGGTGGGTTGTGAGCTCGTCCATCCATCTAAGCAATAAAAAAAGTAACTTTAAAAAATTTCGATGTCACCTTTTATACACCTAAAATAACGCTAATGATACCCAAACGTAACTACCCAATTCGCTACACATCGTAAACTTGTTTATTAGAAAAAAAGATTCTAATTCAACAAAAGATTCCGCTCGACTTTCTGAACAATCCAAACGACATTTGAAATGTACCTACTGATTTGTAATTTTGTAAATGAAAAAGAGAAAAATTCTCCTAGTATTAGTTAGATATGACAAAAGAAAAAAAAACACACCCAAACAATCCATTAATCTTCGCCTATTTACTGAAAAGTCACAAAATGTTCTTAATGTTCACCAAAATTAAACAGCTGCATATTCGGAATTGCAATTTCATAGTACCTATTTTGTCAAACACATGTATGTGACACTTCCATAAATAGCTAATGTAGTGTATATATGTATATGTAACCAAATTAGACTTGCATGGTACTATTAAATAAGTATTATAATTAATATATTTTTTTCACCTGAAACAGACAAGAAAAAGAGGGACTAGATTGTATTAATAACAATGAGAACTGTAGTATGGGTGTAGGTTGATTATCACCATTGACTCAGCTAAGGAATCTTCATTATAAAATGAGTTGATAATGAATGCTGGTTGTTGGCTACAACCGACTTTTTTCTTTCTACGAATTCTAACAAAAGGTTATCGAAAAACTTTGGCTCTGAAAGTTAACAGAAAATACAAGCAACGCAAGCGCTTAGTCCGCAAATAATTTGCTTTCATTGTAAAACTTTTTACATTTACAGTATCCTCAAAGGTAACGTGAATTTTGAGCTAACGAATCTTCGTCAATGGCATAATAAACTTCAGAAACGTTTTTCTAGTTCTGTCTCGAATTATCTAATTTTTCGCCACATACTGAAGAAACATCTGCGTAGAATAGTAATACAATAATTGATGACACTAAAAGCTTTCAGTTATAGACAAAGAAAGGTCTTTTGGAACACAGTATTTGTACATACAAATATAGATGTAGAACGTGTTTTTTATTTCGATCGTGTTTTAACATTACCAATTACTCAAACACCCATTCAAATATACTCAAAAACCCATTACATAATGGGTTTCTGAGTGGAAAATGTTCACTATTTAGTGGAACTTTTAAATGTTTGATAAGATTATTAAAATGAATGCAAGTGTAAATCAGTACATTTCTCAACGCACAAAATGTATTTCTATCTGTTCTTAAAAATATTTTCAACAGTTTTTTTTTGTTACAGAATCTATGAAACTCGCGAAGCAAGCAAGAATATAAGAATACCGAATACCATACACAATAACTGAGACTTTTTGGGAGTACCTTAGGTGATATAATGTTGGGCAGAAGCCCATCGGGTGACGTTGGCGAGCTGTGTACTTAGTGGAGGGAAATGCCCTTGTGGTTGGGGGCGCGAGCGCTAAGTATGCGAGTGTACTGTCTGACAACGGTGCTCGCGGCGCTGGCTCTGCGCTCAGCGGCTGAGCCTCCTCGCCGTTACCCCACAGAGTGGCGTGCAGACCGTGACCTGACCCGATCTCGACCTCTACAAGAAATATTCGACCCGGAACATGCCTCTCCCGACACAGATGTTGCATACGCTTCTCGCCAGCCACCACCCTTACCTCCAGGCGCCTTACATAAAGAACGACGACGGGCTCGTAACATCAAAAGGGCTCCACACCAAATTCCATCTGAAATTGCGAACCAAATGATGCTAAGAGCTTCGCGCTCTAGTCGACCTTATGATGTACCACAAATAGGTAAGTCAAACATTAGTGTTAAAAATATTTACATTTTTTATTTACGATTAGCTCTATACTCCTAGTAGTTCTGAGCTTTGACCGAAATATAATGGACAAAATGACGTGACGTCTGATAAGAGCACGTTCACAGTCAAAACCAAAGCTTTGAGTGAACAGAACTCTGAAATGGCAATCGTGTTCAAAATGATTGCATGAAAATGGCAGTACAAGCGACCGCGTCGCCAGTTGACACACTACATCACATGTAGGTAGGCTGATCGTGATGAATTCCAATAATTCAAATACCGTAACAGTTCACTGACTTATGAACCTGAAAATTATAAAATATGGAACGGAATCTATTACCGTTATCTTCATGAAATTTAAGACTTTACGCACATTGTACATTTCTGAAACACTCGTATATTAATGTTCTGTTAATGTGTGTAAAACTACACTTCCATCAGTCAGGAAATAATACACAGATTGCAGTAGTTTACTTAATTCTGTATTGCTTTATTTGTAACTCCACTTTTACAATCTTTAGACATCTGCTCACTACCCAATACACTGATTTCTGTTCTCGTTTTTTCAGACTACCGCCTTTTTTATTATATCACGTCCCCACTACTTCCATTGCTCCCACTAACAGTGTTGCTATTTGACGATCCGATAATTGCCTTAAGTTTAACATGATACATTTTATTATTTTAGTTTTAATTATTTTACAATAAACCTTATATGTGTGTATGTTAATAACTCATTATTTTAATGTATAGGTCTTCGTTTGTATAGAAATATACGATATGTATAAAGAGTTTGCTATATTTTACCTACTAAATACTTTAATACTCTCTACAATTTACGTGATCACATATGTAGGTACGTTTGTAGTAAACAGTAACTTTGTCTTTACATTACATAATTATATTTTTTTATATTTCGGACCCATGTGACTCGTCTGTCTCAATGCCTTTCAATTTCACTTTTAAATTACAAGAAAGCTATTGGCATTATGTAGATCAAATTTAGCAATTAGGCATACTCTATGAACTGTTATAACGATATATAATAATAGGTGGCTGTTGTTTAAACGCCATCGACCCAATTTCAAAAATATTTCGTTTCATCTATATGAAACGAAATATTTTTTAAATTGACCTATGTCAATGGTTAATACTAACAACAGCATTGTTAATATCTTTTCCTTCCATTTACTCAAATATTAGTGGCAATCCATACATTTTATAATGCTCGGTTGAATATACAGGCTCATGACCCACATGGTGCAAGGTAGTCCATAGACATTAGAACGTGAGTACTGCCACCCACCTTGAGGTCCAGGTCTCAATTGCACTATATAACTACCAGCTGTTCCACCCTTCAAAGCCGAATGCACGATTGGCTCGGGGCAAAAATGAGCACGTGTATACTACCAACATAACCCTTTGGGGCTTATAATAATCACTACAACCTCTAATTAGACAAATTTAGTAAATGGAATTAGAGTATAACTGACTAGCTTCGCTGCTGAATACGACTCTCGTAATTACTGGTGATCTAGTAAGCATACTGATCTCTATACATTTTAAGAGTTGACTACCCTTGACCTTTCTCTGTTCAAAAGGCTTTTAGTCTCTAAGGAGTTTTTTCTTATAAACAGATTATATTAATTATCACACGAAAGTTAAGTTCTTTTTATCGTTTATGTACGTAAAGATACGATTACGTAATGGATAGGAGAATCACGATGTTAGTTTCCTTAAAAAAATGAAATAGTGGTTAAACTATAAATTGTAATAAATACATTGGTAACTTTAAAATACTATAACAATATAAAGTTTTGAGTATACTCTAAAACTAATCTACTTTGTATAACTAAAACAAAATACACAGGTATGTCACAGAGTCGTGCTTGGAATAGTCAGATGGAGATACGCGTCGCCGTAGACACGTAAAACCTTCGATTGCGAAGCGACGCAACACGTACAAACCTAAACGTGTCACTCCTACTAATATAATATACGGTCATATTTAGCCGTCTTCCACGGAAAAGCTTATTTCTAAATATAGATGCTTCAAAAACAAAGAATAACTCATATATTTATATATAATATAAATCTGCAAATAACGATTTTTTCTATTTATTGCTTATATGGGTGGACAAACTCACAGTTCACCTAGTGTTGAGTGGTTACTGGAACCCATAGACATCTACAACGTAAATGCGCCACCCACCTTAAGATATAAGTTCTAAGATCTCAGTATAGTTACAACGGCTGCCCCACCCTTCAAATCGAAACGCATTACTGCTTCACGACAGAAATACGCAGGGCAGTGGTACCTACCCGTGCGAACTCACAAGAGGTTCCACCACCAATAAACCACCACGATGGACTAAACATGAAATATTAAGTTGATGACACACAGTTCTTCTAAAGGCTGATTCTTCATTGAAATTCTCTTCTTGGTCGCGTTNGTTACAACGGCTGCCCCACCCTTCAAATCGAAACGCATTACTGCTTCACGACAGAAATACGCAGGGCAGTGGTACCTACCCGTGCGAACTCACAAGAGGTTCCACCACCAATAAACCACCACGATGGACTAAACATGAAATATTAAGTTGATGACACACAGTTCTTCTAAAGGCTGATTCTTCATTGAAATTCTCTTCTTGGTCGCGTTTTTTAATTTTAAATGTTGTACTAGCCATGAACTTTCGTCCCATTTCGTTTCATTTCGAACTCAGTCGAGCCGTTCTCGAGTTTTAGCGAGACTAACGAACAGCAATTCATCTTTATATTATTACATGATGTTATTCCTTCACCGTGGAAGTCAATCGCGAACATTTGTTGAGTACGTATTTCATTAGAAAAATCGGTACCCGCCTGAGATTCGAATACCGGTGCATCGCTCAACACGTATGCACCGGACGTCTTAACTTTTAGGCCACGATGATATTCATTGAAATAATCAGTGACGCAGTAAAATGTTGAAATGTTACATAAAAATATATGTATAACTTGTAACTGAATCCTCAACGAAGGATCTGAGTGTCTTCGACGGCGGCAATTTCACTTTTTTTTGTTTTATGTTATTCAGCGTAGGCGTAACGTTAGCGTTAAATTTAACTATTTTATGATTTATAAAGTACTATCTGAAGAAATGCGATAACATGTTCTATGTATAATCATGTAAAATAAGAATTGTAAAAAAGAAAAGATAACAGCAAATTGTGCCTTCGCCTAGGTTTTAATAGAGTCCACGAAGACGTCATAATCGGTTTTACTCTAAATTTGAGCTACGTTGAAAAATAGCACAGCGAAAAATTGGATCAATCCAGATATCCAAATACAGACCTATAGTAATCAAATAACAGCCAACTATTAATTTACTTCCAATAAATGAAAATGCTTGGAAATATCTAGAGATCTATCCTTTGAAGTGGCAACGACTTCAGAATATAATAACCTCAACATTTATTTATCTTTACAATGACATCAATTTCTGTAACGTTCTGTTACTGTTACTGTTAACGAGTAGAGGCAGTTGTTTGATTTTGAAAAACACCGGTTTTAATAAATTGTTCATAAGTATAGAGACAAACTCCATTTAACTTTAATGAAAACAATTTTGTTGTTGTTTTTAAAAAAAGTTTTTTTTTAAAGATATTTGGAAAACAGTAACTAGATGTTCACCAGAATATCAAGTGTATCTATCTTTTGTTTTAAACATAACTATCAGATATTATTGTCAATCCAATATTAATAACAATCCAACATTATTGATTAGTGACTTGCGAATTTCGATAATATTTAACTCATCTATATATTAATACGTGAACCAAAAACTTTGTATCCCTTTTTACGAAAATTGCGCGGACGGAGGAGTATGAAGTTTTCCACACTTATAGAAAATATAGAGCTAATATTTACATTATTAACAATGCTAATATTTTTTTTAAATAATTCTTAAAAGATACATTAAATCAATAAAGAAAACATTACACACACTACATACACACGCATGCATACTATTTATTGTCAAACTTTTGTTCTTGACGTCTGTTGTCAAATTGAGAATAGATTAAATATTGTTTGTCTTGTTAATATTTTTTATAGTGTAGTCTTGACGAAATTTGTGATTATAGAAGTATAAAATACAATCATAATAGAGTACAAACTTACAATTCCAACTAATTATAGTCGAATTTCGACTACTGCGGGACCTCTAGTTCTTACTAATACCAGGCAATTATTTTAAATAAATGATCAATCTCGTTTAATTTTAGCATACTATGATTTACTCTAAAAGAAAATAATTTCGCTGTCTAAACTGTTTTCTCGTAACTGTGGATTATCAATACCTCCCTTAGGAGGATAATTCAGAGAAGCATAATAAGGACAAAAAGTTAAACCTCACGCTTGTGATTAAAGTTACATTTCCAAAAAAAAAAAANGTTCTTACTAATACCAGGCAATTATTTTAAATAAATGATCAATCTCGTTTAATTTTAGCATACTATGATTTACTCTAAAAGAAAATAATTTCGCTGTCTAAACTGTTTTCTCGTAACTGTGGATTATCAATACCTCCCTTAGGAGGATAATTCAGAGAAGCATAATAAGGACAAAAAGTTAAACCTCACGCTTGTGATTAAAGTTACATTTCAAAAAAAAAAAAACAGGTAATTTAATATTCTTGTAGATATAATTTAAATGCCAGCGTCTCACGAACAAATAAAGAGGAGGATTCAGTAAAAGCGAAATTTGATTAAACACAATGAATAAAACATTGGTCGGGAAATTAAAACGAGTTTATTATTCAGAGTAGCCACTCGAACACAACGGCCCAACTAATTGCCATGATGAGCAGCTGTAGTTATTTAGTGGTCGGACAAGAGATACTTGATATAAATAAATTTACTTAGTGGTGTTATAGGGCGTCGGTGTTGATTTGCTATACGAACCGCCGTTGGAATGCAATGCTGACCCATCAGTCACAAGCAACAGGTC